GTTTGTGAGAGAGAGAGAGAGAGAGAGAGAGAGAGAGAGAGAGAGAGAGAGAGAGAGAGAGAGTGCAATAATCTCTCCTCTCCCCGCTTCATGTGCCAATAGCCAATGCCATCCTCCAGCGGAGGCCCTTGCTTATGACGCCCTCTGGTGTCAGAACAGTGAAACATCTTGTCAGGGGAGAGGACTTGAAACTGGAGTGCATTCCTGAGGGATTGTGAGTTCAACCACGCGTATGCCAGATTGATTCGAAAGACGATGAAACAACAATATGAATCTTTCTCTCAGTCCCACTCCGCAGGTGGAATGGATCAAAATAGGCCATAAGCTTCCAACGAAAGCCAAACTGGAGAGCCATGGAAAGCTGCTGATTGTGCCAACTATTGAACAAGAAGACAGCGGCAAGTACATGTGCAAGGCGAAGAACAAACTTGGAGAAGTGATCCATTACTTCACAGTCACCGTTGAAGGTACATCAAATGAGCAGCGACGACGTTTTGAGCTCGTCATTGATACGCAATTTCATAACAAGGTGACCGCAGCTTCTTAAAAGATCAGTGTGGAATGGGATTTAGGGAAATTGTTGTCATCGTCCCGTCACACACGGAAAACAACTGAGGAGTCAAGTTTTGTTACGTTTGGAAAGGCGGACTATCGTTTTTTTTGCGATGGCGCTCTCGCGCAAGGCTGATGAAATGCAGTCGACTGCTCCCCTCTTGTCTCCTTGTAGCTGCTTAATGTCACCGCTGTATTCGGTTTGATCAAAATCACCCTGATTGCGTGTCTTCGCAGAGCCTCCGGAGTGGCTGTTGGAGCCCGAGAGTCAGCTCAGTATGATTGGCTCCGATGTGCTCATCAAGTGCTCGGCGACTGGGACTCCGCAGCCAGCGATAACTTGGAGGGTGAATGGGCTGCCTCTGCATGGTTCGTCCCCACGCGTCTTCATGCCACTCGTCTCGATCGGCAACAGCTTTGTGTCGCTTCACGTACACTTTCCGAAACGTGCCGCATGATCGCGAAATCAGAGCAAGAGAGTGCCAAAAAAGCTGCCCGGAATGCTCGTGTACTCTCCAATGCTCAGGGGATGGGCGGAATCTTCTTTCAAATATTTTCAGCTTAGTCCTGAGCTGTCACCAACTCAGATTGAAATCTCTCGACTGGGATAAAAAGATGGTCTCCAAAAGAAGCTGAAATATGATTTTGTTATTAATAGAGTTTCAGCTCCAGATGAAATCTGCCGGTTCAAAGTGAAGCATTATGGGAAAGAGGGAGGATGCCGTCTTAATACTGGATGTGCGCTGCAAAAGCCGAAGCTGATTTTAACTGCCCAAACAAACAACAAGATGATATCGATCCATCCATTTTTTTAGTCCGCTTATCGTCACAATGGTCGCGAGCCCACCCTGAACTGGTTACCAGCCAGACATTTTCGAGTGTTCCATTAACCCGCCACGCATGTTTTTGGAATGTGGGAGGAAACCGGAGTACCCGGAGAAAACCCACGCAGGCACTGGGAGAACATGCAAACTCCACACAGGGAGGTCGGAACCGAAATGGAACCTTGAGGCGGATGTGCTAACCAGCCGACCACCGTGACACCCAACAAGATGATAGTATAATTATATATATATTTAAAAACGAACAAACTGAGAAACATTTGACGATTTGCTCGGTCTGTCATGAACAGGATTCAAATATGCCATTAACAAGGAATTTGTTTGATTGGGCCAGAAGCCAAACTACTGGCAGTGGCAATCATGATGCTGGCATCAGAACGTACTCTACTTGCCAACACCGACGTAGCTCTCGGCATGCATGCTCCAATAATGTAAAGTGAACGACGACCAAAAACAAACAAGTGTGGGCACCAAAGTTTTCCTGCTTATTCAACCGTCTCGACAACAACGCCGTTGTTGTGTTCAGTTGCCTTTGATCTGACTTTGCAGAAGCCCCCGCAGCGAACAGGAAGGTGTTTGACGACACCATCGTTTTGCACAACGCCAAAGCATCCGACAGTGCGGTCTATCAGTGCCAAGCGTCCAACCGACACGGAACCCTCCTTGCGAACGCAAACATCATGGTCATGAGTGCGTATCTTTGATGTGACTTGACTTAGCGCGTTCTCTTTTGAAGCCAGTCTCCGAGCTTGATGTGAATGACAATATTGGAATGAGTGGCAAGTTGCACGTTGCGAGTGAGTGCCGCGGATGTGGATGTGAAATTACGAAATGACTTTGCACTCCAGTCGGTCCGGCAGGGAGGCCGCGGCACTGCGCTGCAGCTCGATGCCGCGCCTTCTTTTGTTCACACAGCAGCGCCGTTGCCGTCACAAGCTCACACTGCTTCTCATTCGCGTCTTCCGCTTTGCAGATCTGCCTCCAATGATTCTCACAAAGGAGGGCGAGGATTACACCGCCGTCGATGGGAGGGGAGTGATGATGCACTGCAATGCCTTCAGCTCTCCGCCCTCCACAATCACTTGGTGGGTGGAAAGGCCGTGCTGTTCTTCCTCGCAACAATAGGGGGCGGTAGATCTCAACCACTGAATGCACCCCGGCATTGCCGTCCTCCATGAAAACCTCTTTCTTGCCAGCATATTTTTATGGGTCCCCGATCCTTGTTAAGTGCAGTATTTGACCTTAACCCAAATGACAAAGCGTGCCGTTAAGAAGCAACAGCAATGACCGCGTGTCGATCAATCATCAAACCTGCAAGTTTATGACCTCGTGTCGTCACGTTGCCATCAACATACGTTCAGTTTAGCTGGCAACGAAGTTGACTATGCACAACTCAGGAGAACATTGGAAGGGACGATAGCAGAACCCGTTCTAACATACTCATCGGCAAGCTCTGCTGGAGTCCGATGACGATCCCCATCTTTTCAATCAGCTGAAAAGTTGACACGTTTTTTTTTTACATTTTGACTGTTTCCAGGAGCAAGGATGAGTCCTCTGAATCGCTGGTGGGGCCGAGATTTACCGTGCATGGCAATGGCTCATTGGAGATCTACAGAGCAGAAAAAGAGGACACGGGACAGTATACATGTTACGCCAAAAACACAGAAGGGACATCTGCCATCGAAGCTTCGCTTTACGTGAAAGGTACGACGCGTTAGAACGGATGTGTTCGTAGTGGCTTGCCGTCGGAGGCAACTAAAAGAGTGTCCTACTTACAAAGATCCCACGAGAATAACAGTGGCCCCGGAAGACCAGCAGGTCCTCATCGGCACCACGGCCCAGCTCTCATGCCTGGCACAATACGACAAGTCCTTCATCAACGACTTTCGGCTCCTGTGGCAAAAGGACGACGCGGACATGGGCTTCAATTATACAGAGAGTTCAAGGTCGGTCTTTCTCCCGCAATTTTGTATTGCATAGCTAAAAAAAATTTCCTCGCGGGAGTGTCATTTTAGTGCTTCTTTGTTTATCAATATTATTAACAGATACTTTGTAGAGGACAGCAACCTTCAAATTTTCAACGTAAGCCACGGGGACCAGGGTGTGTACAAATGTGTAGCGAGAACTCCGGTGGACGGGGCCACGGCGTCGGCGTTGCTCATGGTGCTAGGTGAGCGAGCGTCGAAATACAATTTCATGTCCAGCCCAGGAAACCCCGAGAACATCTTCACCCAATGACATTTGACAACAGATCAATATGTCAGCGAGACTCAGCCATGGTCATGCCATATACGGCTTTAATAGTGAAATGCTGGATTTCACACTATACTAAGCACCGAAGAAAATGGCGTGTCGAATTGACTTGATTTTTTTTTCCACCTTTAAGCAGACTTCAAAAAGGGTATCCGGATTTTATTTTGTGCAGCCACCTCACGGAATGAAATTGACTCTATTCTACACTGACATAAGTTTTTGTTGAATTACTCCATTCGATTTTGTCAAGTCGTCGCACAAAGTCATCTGAATCCAGATCCATTTAGAAATCGACTCTTCATTGACATGAAGAAAATGTATCTGGATCCAGATGACGTTATTTTGTGCAGCAACTTGAGGATATCAAACTGAGTAAATTCGACACTCAAACACGTTTTTGTGGAGTTGACTCACTTTGATTTTGTCAAGTCGTCGCACAAAATAAAGTCATCTGAATCCATATACATTTTTAAATCGACTACTCATTGACTTTAAATAAATGTATATGGATCCAGATGATTTTACTGTGTGGAGCCACTTAGCGTACTCAAATCAAATGAATTCAACCAAAACTGTTGTCAGTGTCGTTTTGACAGCACCGCACGCCATTTTGGTGAAGCAGGCCAGTCCACATCTTATCACTGTCAGGATAATTTGATTGAAAACGGATGCCTTGGCCTTGGTTCCTGCTCAGATCGATGCGTCTGTGATATGTCCATGTGTCTGCCCTCACCACCCCCCCTACCCCCCCAAACCCACGTGATGGTTTTCAGATGTCCCTGATGCACCGGAGCACTTGGTCCTGTCAGAACACAAGACCAAAAGTGTGAAACTGAAATGGACCCCGGGGGACGATCACAACAGCTCAACCACAGGTAAAAGGAAAAGCCGTGCGCGAGTATGACGTGCATCGTTTTCCGTTCCAGTTTAGTTCAAGTGCGTTGTTCGTGTTTAGCGCAAGTCTATTTTAGCGTGTGTCAATTATTGATCCACCAAAGCGTCAATTGTGATCAGTGCATCTGTGGAACATACAAGCCCAGAGCAGAAGGCCAGGAGAGCGCTGCACAGCCTGTGGTTGGATCAGAATTTTTTTTTTTTTTTTTTGGGCGAGAGCCGGAAACGCTTCGGGGCTGATTGTCTCTCTCCGCCTTTCCACAGAGTTTATTATTCAATACGAGGAGAGCCAGTGGGAGCCTGGAAATTGGAAGGAGCTGCTCAGGGTACCTGGCAATCACGCTTCGTCCGTCCTCAAACTACACGGTCACGTCGACTACCGTTTCCGTGTGGCCGGGGTTAACGGCGTCGGGAGGGGTCCTCCCAGCGAGCCCACGGAGAGATACAAAACCCCTCCGACAGGTCCGATGCGCCCGCCGTGTATTGTTGAGTCGACTTTATACTTTTGGATTAAGGAGCCCGGGGCCACGAAAGCTGCCAACATTCAAACACATAATTGATTCCACTCCTGTTGAAAATCGGCTCCTTTGTGTGCCTACTTTGTATTTCACTTGAGATTATTTTCACACTCACAATTCTGAGAAAATCGTTACTCACTCTTTTCCGCAGCTCCTGACAAGAACCCGGAAAATATCAAAATCGAAGGTCATTTGCCGCATGAAATGGATATCAACTGGGAGGTAAGAAAAGAGTAGGGGCGGGAGGGTTGTATTATTACCTTGCAGACAATCGAGTTGTGTGAATAACTCACATCTGCAACGTTTTAAGTTGGGGGAAGATGAATTATTTTCAATTATTTGGCTTTGATCTTCATTTGAATGAGGATCCAGCGAAAGCTGTCGCGAGAGAAAGAGAAGGTTCATATTCCTATTTTATTGCGGCGAGACAAATCTCGCCTTTTCTGAATCTTGGACTGATGAGCCCCGCCTTTTGTTCATGATGTTCCTTTGTGGCTTCTAGTGTCTCTTTGTATTGCTGGCAGAATGTCCTCTATTCAGCGATAGGTTGCATTATGTTCGAGCCAGATCCAACGTTTGAGAAAAGCCCCGCTCGAGCAGGATACTCAGCCCATTGTTTTAATAGATGGCAAGATAACACACTGCTAGCGCTCCAAGCACTGACTTTTCATTTTTGTGAAAAGAAAAGAGTGACATTGGGGAAGAGAAATACACATTTTACGCAAGAAGGGAAGCCGAGTTCAAATGGCAACTCTCATTGTTTTGCTCTTCTCTCTTTCTTTTTTTTTTTTTAGCCCTTGTTGCCGATTGAACACAACGGGCCAGGTCTTGAGTACAAAGTGAGCTACAGGCGGCAGGACTTGGAGGAGGATTGGAAGGAACACGTCGTGAAGAGACACTCGTTTGTGGTGGCAAACACGCCCACTTTTGTGCCCTACGAGATCAAGATCCAAGCCAGGAACAATCAGGGTTGGGGCCCCGAGCCAAACGTGGTGACCGGCTACTCCGGCGAAGATTGTGCGTATTCGCTCTTTTCATCTGGGTTGGAAACTCGCTCGAATTAGTTTGATCACCTTTTACAGCCGGCGGTATCTAATGTGGAGGCGTGGCTTGCGGGCGAATCGCGAATGTTGGAGGAGATTGGCTTTCACCGAGTTTTGGTTGTCGGTTATTCGTACTGTTTTTCCTGTTTCATTTCAAAGAGCTGCGGGCGGCAATTTTTGTTATCTCCCGCCTTGCAGCAAATGTAAACAAAGAGTCCGAGGGAAATGTGAATTTTCCAGAAATTAGCATGACTCTCAATGTGTAAAATTCCTGGTTACTCGAGAACAGGGGACTTGGCTCAAAATAAGATCTTGACCAAAACGACCACATATGATCCAAAGTTATGCGCCCACATTCTTTTCTCATGATAGTCCGCATGATAAATGAATCGAACACTCTAAACTGCCCATCGATGTGAACCGTTGTTGGGTTACGTGTGCCGTGTGATTGACTGGCAAGCAGCCCAGGATTTCCCCCACCTCTTGCCAAAAATCAGCTGGATCGGAGCCACCATTTGGAAAAACAAGTCAAAATGTCACTTGGATTATTTTGAATTTGTTTGCACGCATTTTCATCGTTACTTTCGTACACAAAACCTTTTGTGTAAATGACTTCAAATGTTTAGGATTCCATGATTCTGTCAAAATGTTACAATTGAAGCTCAACACGTGTTGTGCAACACAAATTCTCTCTTGCGAAGTTACTACACAGGGGCCCAAACTAGCATTTTTAGAATTTTTTTTTTTTTTTTTTTTAATCGGAGAAGTTGTTCGAAATCTAACTTTACATTTAAATCAATTTGTACCCTCTGAGAGCCATTTTTTCCCCCCTTCCTGCCATTGGCGCATATGCTTTCTAGATATTGAACGGTCAATTTTCGCATAGCCAGTGTGTTTTGTGATCTATTGTTTTAATATCAAAAGAAAGGACACAAAAGGGGAAGATTAATATCTGAATGAGTCCTTTCACTAAGTCATTTCCACGCGCTCGTATTCAGCAATTCAGTCACGTTTTATTGAAACGTTTGAGTTTGGCTTGGAACATGTTGTTCTTTTGTGTTGTGTGAAGGCAAGCAACCGCCTCTGTTTTGTGTGTTCAGCTCTCTTTTGGACTTGCCTCCAGGAGACCAACACAGGTCATGAGACAGAAGATAAATGCTCCTTTTATGTTAGCGAGACATTTGTGTGGCTGACTGTAGAGCTCCTCCATCCCCGTAGTTGGGTGTTTTCCCTCGATATATCCATCCCCGAGTTATCTGATCTTCATTTGTGATGAAGCCGTTCAAATGTCAATCGGATTTGGTCGCGAGAGCTCTCCGTGTGTAGCTCTCGTCTTCTGACATCCGTGTTCTATTTTCTCCTGCCTTTGCTTTTGCAGTTCCGTCCGCCGCGCCCGACGATGTAGCTGTGTTGGTGATGAACAGCTCAGTGGTCAAGGTCAGCTGGACCCGTGTAAACAAGGACAAGTTGCGCGGACATCTGGGAGGCTACAGGGTAATACTTCACTTGTTTTCAGCCACAGTTGAAAAGGAATGACCCTGACCCGCTCTAAACGGTTGGCGCTCGATCTCTCTCTCTCTCTCTCTCTCTCTCTCTCTCTCTCTCTCTCTCTCTCTCTTCCGCTGTACCCTACACATCTTCCCCAGCACAATTTACTTCCGTGCGCCTCCCGTAACGGGATTGTGTTGTCGGATATTTATCGGCCTAGCACCGAGCGTCTCTTTGGTTGTGTCCAGATCAACTGGTGGCGTTTGCGCAGTTTGTTGGATTTGAAGAAAAGCCACGGAGACAAACACACGTTGACGTTACCTGGCGACCGCAACCACGCCATCGTGCCCAGACTCCAGCCCTTCTCCGAGTACAGTCTCATTGTCATGACCTTCAACGGTCGCGGCAACGGGCCTGGCAGCCATCCTGTCAACTTCAAGACCCCGGAGGGCGGTAAGGACTGTGGAAAAAACAACATGAAATACAGCCATTTAGAACTTGTCAAGCCACAATGGGAAACAAAAAAAAACAAAAGGAACATTTTGGTGTCAATTGCTTACGTGTTGATCACTTTTTTTTTTTTTTTTGCCCCCCGCAGTCCCTGAGAAAAATCCAGTTTTCAAGGTGACAGAAACACAGAGGCACACTGTCTCTCTGGCTTGGGCCCCACCAGCGGAGCCCAATGGCGTTCTGACAGGATATCTCTTAGAGTATCAGCTAAGTACGTACCCGCTTTGTTCTTCATCATAAGTGACCCAGATATAATCTCACAATGAGAAAATATTGAATTTCCCCCTTTGATGATTAATAATGTGAACATCCTTGGCCTGTTTGCATTTTTTAAGGAAGGAAGCAATTGAATACACATAACCAAGGCGGCATTTTGGGAAACGGCGTATCACACTCGGGCCCAACACAAAAACGGAAATCGCCGTGCCCCGTGAATGGGACTGAGGTCGGAATGACGTCACAAAGTGTCGATCGGAAAACATGTCGGGTTGACGTCCGGGTGATGTCTGCGTAATCATTCCCGGACTCATGCAGAGCGAGGCCACGATGTCATAGGTCGCTCGGGTTCCGTTTGACCGACCTCGTGCCGTCGTGGGGGGGCATCGCCGCGACCGCTCACAATTCCAACAGGATGTGAACACGTAGACACACACTGCTGTCCTCAAACACAAGTCAAAGTAAAGCTCGGGAGTAACTTCCAGCCTCATCTTGTCGCCACATTTCCTCGCTAATCGAGTTGGATTTGGCAGCTGCGGAAGAGGGCCAAATGCCAGAGCGTATTTCGGGGGAGGACAATTTCAATGTGCCTCAGCGATCAAGCCGGTGAGCTCATCGAGGTGTGACTATGTTGAAGTCCCCTTGAAGCAAGCCGCGTGCAAAATGTCGGGAAATACTGCAGCCAGCTGCCAAGGTATCGTGAGTGGCACAAGTGAACTTTCCAGCTAAGGAGCGGCTGTTACGAGGCTCCACCCACCCACATGTCAGCCTTTCATGCCTTTGCATCTCACACGTTTCACTGGCATGTCCGCCATAACAAAATCGCCTACGCGGGAGACGCAACGGAGTCAAATGGATATTGCCCAGAAAATTCTGATCGTCATATCAAATCGCTTCCAGATCTGCCTGATATGTCATTTAATTGGAAACTGCGATCACATTTTTAGTTTGATATCCCAGTTCGGATGAAAAGACTCGTTCATTTAGTGTTTACGGCGGAATTTTGATCATTGGACCAAAAAAAAACCCCCAAAACAAAACAAAAAAAGTGAAACACACTTATAAAACATTGAGATGTCAAGTAATTTTTACTGTATACATGCTACCAATAGAACTTGGTTTTGAAATGTACCGTAATTTCTGGACTATAGACCGCACCTGATTATAAGCCGCACCACTACATTTTTCAAGGAAAAAAATATTTTGAACACACATAAGCCGCACCTGTTTATAACCCGCAGGTGCCCATATTGTAACACGAGATATTTACAAAGAAAGACGGTACACAGGCAGCCGTTAGAAAAGTCTTTATATAAGCCGCTTCATGAAATAAGCCGCAGAGTAGAAAGCGTGTGACAAAAGTTGCGGCTTATAGTCCGGACATTACGGTACTCTGCAGCACTTAAAGGCACTTCAATAAAAAGAGCATTTTCATAATTTTCAGGTGTAGCATTCGGTGCTTTATGATCTCTGGGGCAATTCTCCAAGAGTCACGTGTTTTTTTGTTTGTTCGTTTTGTCAACTTATGGTGGACTGTAGTTAACAACACAGAGGAAGTCGGGCAACTGCAGACCATCGACATCAACAAACCCGGCACGACCAAGTGGACCTTGCGGGACTTGGAGCCTTTAAGCAAATACAAGTTCCACCTGCGTTCCTGCACCACGGTGGGCTGCGGGCCCGTTATCAGCGAGGAGAGCACCACCACCCTTGAAGCAAGTGAGTCAGAGGGAAGCGACGACGCCGTTGCAACTGGATTGAATGCGCTGCCGTGTGTTGGTGTTACATTAAGAGGAAACAACCACATGAGAGTTATGGCACAGAATTGGTTCAGTATAATCCGGGTTTAGTGAGGCGTGTAACAAAGACATTTTTTTTAGCGGTAGGGGGGGTGTTTGTTTGCTGGAAAAGCTACACGCAGCCTGGGCAGCCAAGCTTTTCTTTTGTCCCCGTAAGTTATATTTGTGGACAAACAATTTAATACGTCTGCACCGTGGCTTTTCATTTGTCACTGCCAGAGCAAATGCTTATTGATTGGAAGGAAAGTGCAAGTTATGAGACAATCAGCAAAGAAAGAAAATTGCTTTGAGCGGGGAGTAACTGAAGGTTCAGATAATGAATTGTGCAATCATGAAAGAGACGCCGGATAAGTTCGCAATAATGATCCGGCTTGTAGCATGTAATTGTCTCTTTGTCGTGACATATCATTTGCTGAACATTACGTGGCGCACCTCTCGCGAAGGCAATCCGTGGACTCGACTGCGGGGTGAACAATTACAGAGGAAATGAAACAGAAACATGTTTCACTTTCAATACCAACACATCTCGGGCATCCTCGATGACTGGGCGCCGCTTTTAATTTCCTATCGCTTTGCCGTCATGAAAGTTTTGGTTATTGAACTGCAAATCCCGCCAAGAGAACAATTGCATCATTGTCTCCGTGTCTGTAAATGTTTATTTGAATGTTAAAGGTGATCACAAGACTTCTCTTTGTCTGCATTATGTTTCAATTCTTTACATCACCGCACGTGTAACAATTACAGTAAGTATTAAAAGTGTTAGTTCGTCATTGGCTAGCGCCCTGTGAGAGTGCACCGTTTTTTTTTTTTGTTGTTTTTTTTTTTTTTTTGGTGTTGTTGTCTACTCGCTGTCGTGCTGCGCATAAGTGCTTTGCTTCAAGCGGAACCTTTGATCATGCAATGTTTAATGTTTTTTTGAACGCCTGCTTAGCGACGCATTTGCTTGTCCCTTTTGTACTCTTTCTTTCATTTCTTTTTCCGCCCCTACAGCTCCCACTCTGCCTCCTGCCGATGGTCCCGCTATGTAGATGCCTGGCATTTCACACATAAGCGTACAATCACACACCGCGCCAGAGCTAATTAGAATACTAATAGGAATCCAGAACTTTGGGGATGGTTCTGAACGTCAGCGAAGTACCCCTATGCCTTATTTGACAAGTTTTTATTCCACCCATCCATCCATTATCTGAAACACTTTCTCCTCATGAGGGTCGCAAGTGTGTTCGAGCCTATCTCGGCCGTCTCCGGGAAATAGCTTGAACTGGTTGCCAGCCAGCCAATCGTAGGGCACACCTAGACACCCACGACCATCGTGAGGAAAAAGCAGATGAGAAAATGGATGAATGGATATTTAGCGGACGAAAGGGTGATTCATTCTCTAATACTACCGTTGTTGTCTCCAGTGATACACAAACTTGTAAAACCCTCCAAGGTGCGCAATAAGCGGGGGAGGGAATCCAACCCGCTCAACAAAGAAAACTACATGCAGAATTCAAATTCCTTCTCACGCTGTAACTGCATGAATAGTCACTCGTCTAGTTAGAAGCTATTGAGCAGTTCAGAAAAATATGCATGCCAACACTCGAAATTGTAATATGAGCCCTATCACAATGAATAAACTCAAGGTCTATGCTTCTTTTCAGGCAAATCAGCTTCTCCCTCATCTCTAAGCACTCGCAAGCCCCTTATGACCAAATCCACTCAGTCCTCCATAGGTAGAACCTCAACACATACTGACACAATAAAGCATCAAAGCCATAAGGGGAATTTAAAAAGAAAATGACAAAAGTTTTGTCCAAGCAATTTGGAGCGCCTAATTACTAATTTACTTTTGTTGTCTTCGCGAAAAGCGATTTCTGAATAATTTCCGAACGTCGACACGTTAACGAGTTTCTCTGCAAGATTTGTTGCCGTTCATAAGTTATAAGCCACGCCGCCAACTGATCAGTCGGTTTTAATAGAGTTTTCATTCCCCTGCCGCACCACGGTGATTCAAAGACACGCGATCTATATTCTAGCCAGACGGCGTAGCTGCAGAGTGCCGTCGCTTGAATGGGACAAACACATCTAATTGTCAGTGATTGATTTCTTGGGCCTTGGTCCCCACTCGACACGGCGGTGTATTGACCCAACAGTCCCCTGGGTGTGGAGGCAAAAGGTTTTCTGAGCGGAGAGAAAATGAGGAGGAATGTCCACGGGGGCGTGCTGGGGATTTGTGAGCGCATTCGGGCAAGGGTGATATTTATAGGCCAGTGCGATAAATGGCTACGCGGGAGCTGTTGAGAGTCGTCGGATCAGAACGTTTGGTGGCGTCACCTTTTCCAAAAGTCCCCTTTGACTTTGCTGCTGCATCTCATAGGGCAACTCCCTGTTGTCTTAACAGCTGCTTTCTCCAGCGTGTTTATCGCAACCTGAAACACACACACTCACACACAGAGGAGACAGCCTGAGGATATTTTTAGTCCAGGGTTTGATCTTAGTCAAATTCATTGTGCAGGTCCAATGATTGGAATGGCCATCTTCGCAGACTAATCCATCAACATTAGTCAAAGAGTGTCACTTGCACTGGTTGGGATGGGCAACACAGCCGCAGGTGTCCATGTGTGCTGGATTATCACCTGAGTAAATAAAGCACCCGAGCTGAAGGCACGACAGAAGATTTGCATGTTTGCCACGGGGAAATGAAGTGGATTGATGTCGACTTGCTCAGACAGCTGCTGTCAAGGCATACTAATGATGCACATCATTCACTACATTATTGGATGCTGTTCCTCCCCGGCTGACTTGCAAAAGGCCAACGTCTGAATTTCAGCATGCAAATGCGCAACGAAACGTGATTAAAAAGTACCCGGTAGCCTGCTCATCCTACGCCAGCTCAATACCTTCGAAGCACGTGTGTAGTTGTATTGAACAGCAGCAGATCCAGCTCGTCTATTTTCTGTTTGCCCAGCACTCTCTGTGCTGAGATCTATTTTTCCAAACCTGTATTTCCACTTGTACAAATATAAGATTGCTGCGGGGTCACCATTAATATGTTTTGTCCGATAATAACAAAATTATGGAAAGCGTGTCATGGACTGCCCGACGTTTCACGACCACGACGCCGAAAGCCCGGCATGTCAGAATTTTTGGGATCGTCCTTGATCGGTTCTCTCCTCCTGATGACAAGAGACAGGATGTGACGCACACAATCTCCACGTTGTGTGCAGTACGTAGTTTAAAAGTGACTTGAACAAAAGGGGAAATATTGGAAAGTATGCGTAGCATTTCAACACAAGCTATGTTTGCTAACTGCAAAGCTGGCAGGTGATGAGCAAACGTGGTGCCAGGAAGCAAATTCGGAATTCTTTTTGGAGAATTGACCGTCCATACCGCCCTCTCTCCACCATCTCGGAATAGGTCCAGGTTTTATTTCTCGCCTTTTGTGAACATAGAAACAACACGCATGCACATAATGCCTCAACATGACTTAGACATCTGCTTGTACCTCCTCCCCCGACAGACCTGCGCTGATGGACTGAATTTTGACAGACGCGGCGGGGTCTGGTCGGCGCCGGACTTGTAGTGTGACACAGAATAATATTTATTTATTCATGTTGTAGTCTGACAGCACGACCGTCATGAACGACCAAAAATTTGTGTAGTTTGACGCGGCCATCAGTCGTGTGTGAAGTGTGGCCAAGTTATGAAGTGTTTTCACGATATTTAGCAATTTCTTTTCCCACAAAAGAGACTAGTGCAAATGATGAGAATGGTTCTAATGTTAGCAACATTTTTATTTCCTGCACAGTGGAGCGAATAGGTCCAAAAGTTGGCCTGATAATACGGTACACAAATCTCAAGTTTTATTTACAGTGCCGTACATCTTGGGTGTATTCTAAGTCATCACTGGTTACTGGTCACTGGCATTATACGTCATTGTCAATATGATACTTGCCGCATTTCTCCTGATTTGGGAGTCCTGACTGACACAAAATTCTGCTAAGGCTAAAGCGCTAAAGGGGTAAAGATGTCATGTGAATAACTTTGTTGCAAATGTGCATTTCTTAATTCCAACAATAAATACCCGAGCCACACACAACAACACTATTTTGGACCCAGACTTTTTATAAAAACTGCTTTTTATAAATAAATTCAAAACAATCCACACAAAGTTGAGGTTAGCACGTTGTCTCGGCCCCCCGCAAGTGTTCCACTCTTTCATGTGGTTCCCTTGTAAAATGAATTGCCCACCCTGGGTTTCGTTGTTTGATTCAAAGTCTGGTTTGTCTTTGGTTTTGCAGTTAGCAGCCCACATGGATGTCTGCTAGCAGCATGTCTTCTTGGACAAACGAGGACGATGTGCTCCAGTTGTGCTTTTGAAGTTCACTTGGCTCTTTGCTGGTGTATTGTAGCCTGCTAGATGCGGTCCTGAAGTTATTAACGGAATAGTTTTGCTCCATTTGGGGTTTTACGTGTGCTGATTAATTGGCTGACATTCTTTGCTGGGCAACGAGGATGACTTGACTCAGGGGAGACACGGATGCGATGTTGACACACTGCCGATTTACACCAAAAAAAAGCCGCTCCGGGTGTGAACGCACCCTTATGCTGTGCTCCCCAACCGACAAACTGACGCAAATGCCATGTTTGCAAGATGTGAATGTTGCTAAGAAAGTCCAAATTTCTGTTTTAGAGCGGCAATGTTGTACCAAAGCCAAGAGAAATTTGAGTATTCTGGCGGTAGTTGCCTGTGTGGAGTAATCCCTCATTTATCGCGGGGTTTACGTTCCAAAAAGAACCCGTAACAAGTGAAATCCGTGAAGTAGTCATCTTTATTGATTTATTTACAATTATTACATATACGGTGGGCGACTGGTTCGCACGTCGGCCTCACAGTGCAGAGGTGCAGGGTTCGATTTCGGGCTCCGGCCTTCCTGTGTGGAGTTTGCATGCTCTCCCCGAGCCTGCGTGGGTTTTCTGCGGATACTCTGAGAAGCCATGAAAGGTGAACCATGTTATAGCGAGGGATGAGCGTCTCGGGCATTTGTCAGACTGGGGTTATTACTCTGACATGTTTGCTGCTCTTCTACCAAGGAACTTCTGCTGACTGATGCACAGGCCAAGGTTCCTGGATGTGTACAAACCAAAGATTCCTGAGAAAAAAAAAAATTCAGGTCATTGAAACAACCTCCCGTTTTGAACTGACTGCAGGTGTGTCCTTGCAGAACGTGGGCCTCCATTTTCTGAAGGATTTAATCTGGCGGCGCGGATCAAGGAATTCCATTTGTATAGTCTGCCATACTTGATTAATTAGACAGGCGAATTAGCTGTTTAATATTAATATTGGACTTGTTTCCATCACCGGCCTACCGCTTGTGCATCGGATAGGCTCTGTCGATGTAAACATTCAATCAAGCCGTCCGATAAAAAGGTTAAGGCGTGTCAAAGTCACTGAAGTATTCTTCTCCTCAGGTCTTGCCAGCATCCACGGAGGAATATCTAACCAGGGCTGGTTTATTGGCCTGCTGTGCGCCATTGCTCTGCTCACCCTCATTGTGCTGATCGCCTGTTTTGTCAACAGGAATAAAGGAGGAAAATATTCAGGTATGTGCAAGCGCACGCGGCCACTTGCGAATCACACCTTCCATTATTGCCGATAAGCGTGGAACTAAATGCAGAAAGAAATATCTTATTTCTGTAGATCAAGTCGTGTGGTGATAGGAAATCTCCTGCATTTGATGGCAGCAATATTTTACAGCCTCAGATTTTTCCTGCAGCTTTCCCACCAACACGTGCCCATAGCGGGACAAGATCCAAATACTCGCACTTGTTGTTCGTGTGCAGCTAATGATGACACGGGCTTTATGGTTATCTCCCTTTTTTTTTGGTCTTTTTCTACTGGGATGTCGAGAGTCCGTAATTGCCTTTATTATTCACAGCTAATGGCCATCAGGTCGGTGTCTGGGTAGCATTCGCCCGTCATGAAAACAAAAGGGCTACACAGCTCACTTCTTTGTTCTCTCATTAAATTCCCATTATTGTTGTCTCAAATCGGTATTATTTGTGGAGAACGAAGCGGCCCCTGCGTATGATGTAAACCACTTTGTTGAAAATGTTACATCGACATGAACAAAGAACACCCAAAGAACATCTCTATCTGACTTGCCTTCAAGTGTTCCAGCGTATCTTGTAAAAGAGCGTGGCGAGACGATGGATTTCATCCGCAGCTCTCTCGAGCATACCGTGTGTTTGATATCATGTCTTCATTTTGCGAGCAGTAAAGGAAAAGGAGGACCTTCATCCAGACGTGGAGTCCCAGGGTATGAATGACGACACATTCTGCGAATACAGGTAAGTGACACCCTCAAAGCAGCTCTTGACACTTGCGTCGTCTCTTTCCTCCTATCTCAGTGCTGCTCTTTATGTCTCCCCTATTGCTGCAAAGAGAACGTAACACTCGTGAGGCTGACACGGAGCCTCATACTTCTTCTGCGGAAGAAATTTGATGTTGCCGGGGAATTGGAACGTACGTGATAAGCAGCCGCAGCATTGTGAGCTGTTTGCACATCAGTTGGGCTGCAGTAGTAGTTGCATCTAGCTATCGTCTATTGCTACACACAAGGCAGTTTGTGACCAATGAGAGCTTGGAAGGAATTACATTACAAAAAATAAAAAAAACAACAACAGCTTACTGTTTGATGTTTCTGAAGACAAAGCTTGAGGGAGGAATTCTGACTGCATTCACGTGTAAACTAAGTTGGTTCTGCTTGGTGGAAACAAGGCTGTTGTACAAAAAGTACCTTCACCAGTTTTTGCTATACACACGCAAAATTATGCCAACACTTCCTCAAACTATAAAAAAAAATGTCCTCTTGTCACAAAACGCCTACGGTGTAGTGTGCACTTTTTTTTTTTTAATAGACATTGCTTTCTGAAGGGAGCCCTTGCAGTGTTGAAATGCTGCCATTTCCTGTTCTGATGGCACTGGGCACTGACTGGCCAGTACACAGCAGGAAGCTGAAAGCAATCAGTGTTTGAAAGTAGCTCTTCTCTAGGGCAGTATTATCTCTGCACGTTTCATTAATCCTGGAGTGATCCAACTCATGACGGGCTACCCCTGCAATGGTCGTAGTAGACTGCAATTTGCCAATCTGTGGTTCCGACAAAGCAAAAATGCAGATAGCAAAAAGTGTCTCAGTGTGCCATGCGTTTCACTTCATGAGTTCACACTTAAATTGCATGAGAAATTTTATGTAAGCCCTTAAATTATTGCTTAGCTGTCGCTTTTGTAAGTAGTATTTTTTTTTCCAACATTCTATAGATAGCTAACTAGATAGATGGATTGCCGGCTAGCTAGCTAGATAGATAGATGGATAGCTGGCTAGGTGTATCGAGAGAGAGAGAGAGAGAGAGAGAGAGAGAGAGAGAGAGAGAGAGAGAGAGAGAGAGAGAGAGTACCAGTCAAAAGTTTTACTCCACATTGGCAGTTCCACACTTCCATAATAAAGCAATCAATGATTTCAGATCAATAATTTTAAATTCTTACTTACACATTTCGATTCATTCTAATTTTATTCTTAGGAGTGAATACACACTAATGGGCACAGCATAATAAATGATCTCCCGACAATCTGAAACTGCAACCACTGGAAGCCTTTCCTCGGGAAATATGAAGCCACCCGTGGCGGAGATGTAACTACGGTGTGCTTCTTCGACAGTGACAATGACGAGAAGCCACTAAAAGGCAGCCAGCGCTCCCTGAGCAAAGAGATCAAAGCGGGGGACAGCGGGGACAGCCTGGTAGACTACGCGGAAGAAGACACTCACTTCAACGAAGACGGCTCCTTTATAGGCGAGTACGCGGGCCGTAAGGAGAAGAGGATGTCATCTGAGATCAAAGCCACCACTCAGAGCCTGGCATGAGCAGCCCAACATCTTCCAGCGTGCACACTCTTTTCATTAAAACCTGCTCAGCGGGGACCAATGCAAGCCAACATGCGCAATAGTGAAGCGGAGCACATGTTTCATGGCAAATGCAACACGTCATTGCAATGGCACTGCCATCTTCATTTTCTGTTTGTTTGGTTGCAGCTCAATGACCCTTAATAAATACTCCCGGGTATTTATTTACAGTCGACTCTTGCACACTCGCGGTTCACCACCTGCAGATTCTCATTTTTGTTTCCAGTTTCCGATGTTTCTTGGAGGAAATGTAGAGCAAGTGTTTATCAGTGGTTTTTTTGAGGGGTGGGGGGAAGATTTTCCCTATTCGTGGTCCCGGTCCTGATCCCTTGCGAATAGCACAGGTGTGTATATTATTTCTCTCTCTCTCTCTTTCTCTCCTATATATGTATATATATATTGTGTTTATTACACTGTATGTGAAGAGTGTCTTTTTATCATTATCATGACTACAATAAAATGTCGAGGCCTAGTTTTTAATTATTGTGATGGGGTCTACACTAAACTCAGCTCCCTGCGGGAATTTTGCCCTCAATGGGCCAGTGACTTCCAGTGCATCTGCCCAAATTTCTGCTGAATTCGTGCACACGCACATTTGAATGGCAAATCTGTTTTTCGGGCCTACTTGTGCCTACTTGTGAATGATCTCGGATCCGCTCACCCGATGCATACGCACAAATAGTGATGGACCAGCTTTAAAAACAACACCAACAAAAAAATAATAATAATCATAAGCATGACGTCGAATGGATGCCTGTTTATCGAGGAAATAGGGGCGGAGCTAATGCAAATTCGAGTACAGCAGCCACAAGACATCTTGTCAATGAATTCTGCTTCGACATGCACATGGGCCCACCGAAGGCATATTGGGCCCATCCGCATGTGCCGTGATTCTGATGGCGCTTTTGCGTATTGGCTCAACTTGTGCGCAGAGTAATAACATTTCGATGCATTTAGTCGTGACAGAGTGTTGTTTTGATAAACACTTTTTCAGTTCAAATGTATTCTTTTGTAAAAGCAGTGTTTTGTTTTGTTTTTTTCTTTATAAGCTATATTCAAAATATGATCTGCCTGTGAAGGTTACTTATTAACTTATTTTCCAGAGATATTTTGCTGGACATCATAAATATTTTTGAGTCCCGAGTCTCTTGATGTTAGAAGTAAAAAATGTTGTCATTATGTCTCATGGGGACTCTGCTGATGATCGTTTGTTTGCTATAACAGCCCAGTTTACAAAATGTCACATGATGAATGTATAGAATAGGTCATTTCCAAATCGGAACATGTATTTTTGTGCAAATGACATCATTTCAGGGTTTCGAAAAATATTAAGAAAACGTGTTGACGCAAGGAGACACTTTGTTGCATATGACGCCTCCATTGTTATTTTACTTTTAAGTCTAGCACCATAGTCGCTGCATTGTTTTATAAAAGGAGAAAAAAAAAGAATCTGCCATTTTGCATGTTCGGAGGATTAATTTGTGTTTTTCGATGTATTAAATTGCCTTTTCTTACATTTTTCAAATTGTTTGCCTGTTGACTCATCTCTGTTAAATGTGCTGATACATTGCTACCCCCAAAAGTATCAGAAGATGAGAGCGTGGATTAAAAATAAGCCCCCTTTCTACAGCTATGTATCTATAATAAACGAGACAAAAATGGCATCCATTGAGCTGATTATTTTCAAATGGACGATGATTGTTAATATTTCCTTTGTGACAGAAACATTATGGATTACGACAGGACATCTTTGAGTTGTTGTAACCTTTGGCTTTGGTCAAAACAATCACGAGAAATCAAAGCGACGGACTCAGCACGGCACTGGACCAGAACGCGTGAGCTGTAATCAAGTCGGATGATTGACAGGAGGCAATGGACTTTCGCTAGCCTCTCACTTCACCAGTCACATCTCCCCAAGATAGCCTCGCCGTGACACTGCAACAACGCAGCCTTCGGTTGTCGGCGAGGGACACTTTTGGTTGACGTGTTTTACATGCAAACAATTCCGACTCAAAATATAATATTGCCAGAGTGCTTCGGGCGACCAGTCGGTCAGTACATGATAACCGCTGGCAGGTGAAGAGAAAAACAAGCCATCAAAAAGTATTGAAAAGAAGGGGACATCCCGAAAAACAACAAAAATGTCAGCAAATTAGTCAAGTCCACCCAAAAATTGTTGAACGGCACCATAAGAGTTGAGCATACAAAATACATAAAAAGTTTAATGACAGAAAACAGCAAGAAAATTGGCTCATATCATTTACGTTCTCATTATAATTTGAGCCAAAATCATCACATTGTAATTTTATGCCTGACATGGTGGTTGATAATGATGTTTGTACAAAAAAAAAACAAAAACAAAAGAAAGAATATGCAACAGCTTCTCATTTAAATGGTAATTTTGTACCGCTGTGCATTTTTTGTGGGGTGTCAGCACGAGCCTTGTGAAAGCAGGCACGCTTCCAATTACAAAGGATGTACAATTGAGCACAAAGCGAAGGCTTCATTTTAGTTGGGGGTCATTTCATCTCATCTGCTTCCGCGTTAATCCAAGGGCTGGGTGTCACTCTAAAAATGTCTCACATGCTAGAATTTCACTGAAGATTGCGCCAACCAAATTTTTAATCAAGTTGCTTGTCAGGGGACTTCTAATGGGAAGCAAATAATCATAAGTAGTCCTGTCATAATTATTCTTGCAATTATTTTCTTGCAAAACCAAATGTCAAAAAAGTCAACACGGGATTGTCTCCAGCCCATCTGTAACCAAGATGAGTTGGAAGTACACCCAAAAATTGGATGATTGAAGAATATATTTTTCCAAACGGAAATGTCAAGCATGCGGCTTGTGCTTACTTTTGGCCCAACTGGTTGCGGACAAGCAATTTTCCATGAATTGTCACCCTTTAACGACTGTGTCGAATTATGTTTTCATTTGATTGCAATCGGGCCAGTCCGGTGGTGCAGTGCTTAGCGCATCAACCTCACCGTGTAGAGGTGTGTGGAGTTTGCATGTTCTCCCCTGGGCCTGCGTGGGTTTTCTCCGGGTACTCCGGTTTCCTCCCACATTCCAAAAACATGCACGGCAGGCTGATTGAACACTCGAAATTGTCCCTAGGTGTGAGTGTGAGCACGGATGGTTGTTCGTCTCTGTGTGCCCTGCGATTGGCTGGCAACCGGTTCAGGGTGTCCCCCGCCTACTGCTCGATGACGGCTGGGATAGGCTCCGGCACCCCCGCGACCCATGTGGGGATAAGCGGATCAGATGATGGATGGATGGATGATTGGAATCGGATGCTCTCTTGCTGGATGGTTGTCATGCCTCACTATTTGAACCACTGAGACAGGAAAAAGATGTTTGACTGAAACGAGGGAGTGTTATGATCCCGGAGACTTTCTCCAAATACTGTGAAAACTTGAGGGTTACATTTGTGAAACCAAATGCGGCACGTGAAGAAAACTGATCCCAGAGCAGGGAGCAGCAATTTCCTCTGATGCCGTCTTAGAAATATGGCGCTTGCAGGTCACTGACTTTCGAAATGAGCAGAAGACTTTTTTTTTGTTTTTTGTTTTAAGTCCCCCCACCTGGATTATCTCAGCTCTGTTATGAGAAGAACCAAACAGAACTACACTACAAAACATTTCTGGAAGAATAACATTTAATTGTATGCATAGCCGCCGTATTGCCCAAAGATGAGGCATAAAACAAAATAATGGTTTTATTAAGTGCCTGTGAAACGGGTGCGTTAAGTAGATAATCACTGCTTGCGGGTTGAATGAAATTAGGTTAATTAGAGCGTCACTGGAGAGTCAGATTATGATTAAAAAAAAAAAAAGTATGAGAGAGAAAATTCATCATAGCAACTGGGGGAGGGAGATCTACGTATATTGTATTTATTATATTTTTGGCCCTTAGTGACTATTTAACCACAAACATGAGGCTTTTTTTCATGCTAAAATAGCAGAGCTGCAATTTCAGAAATTCCATGCAATGCGGTCAGTGTCGGTTTGTTCATCGTTCTTTCCGTTATGGATGCACAGACTATTTACCGAGCAGAGCAGAGTTTTGGTGACTAACGGTGCCATTGCTCACAAATACAGTCTGGCTTAAAGTTTGTGTACGTTTTTTTATATGACAAAAAATAAAAAAAGATGTGCAGTCCGTATCATTCATGTAAATAAAACAAGAAAAGTTTACCGCGTAAGCAAACGATTAACCGAGCTTCTTTTCTGGCAACCTGGGTGCCCTGTGGCACTCCTCTGCCCCGCACAGGTAAGTCCCGGGACTACTACGGACATGTGCCACGGGTGCAAGGGTTTCCGCATGCAAATGTAAAAAATCACTTTGAGGGTCATTGAGGCCTCTTTTGTAATCTCAATCACAATCAATCATTGTCATGTTTTGGTTTGTGACCAACAGGTGGCACTGTGGGGCGTTTCCCTGCAGCTGCACACCTGTTGGTCGTTAGGTAATTAGTAGCATAAAAAGGACTCCCGCCCGACCACTCGTTGTCGGGTCATTGTTTGTTGCTTGCAACTGCCATGTTTGTTTCTGTCATGGTTCTGTTCCTGTTCGGTTTTTGCCACAGTCATGGTTTTGTTTTGGTACTTTGGATTCCTTGTGTTCTTGGAACTTTGTTTAGGATTTAGTTTTCTCTGTTTTAATACAATTTGTCAAGTACACCTTGCTCCTCTCTCTTGCCTGCTTTTTGGGGTCCACCACCACCTCGCTACGTGACAATCATTGTGGCCCTGAAAATGATCCTCGACCCAAAATGTAATATCATCATACCAGCAGTGAAAATGTGTCAATAATTATTTACAAAGTGTATTAAATACGTATTTGGAATAGATAGTAACATCAATAATTCACTGTGTGGGTCATATTAGCTTGTGTAATGTTACAGGGGTGGGGCGCGGGGGTGTCGGGGGGGCTTGGAGTGATGAGCCAATTGATACTTAGCTCTCACTAACACTCAGCACTGTTCATCATTCGTGAGCCTCCAAAATGGTCGACCATCTTCAGGCATGCTTTGATCATCTTTATGGGGCCATGGCGGCGAAGGTCGAGGGGCAAATGAGTTCCTTTTTCTGAAAGCCCTTGCTGTCTCCTATGTGACAGCAAAATGCGGTGGATTTTCAATATTTGGCACAACATGGCGAAGATGCTGTAGCCAAAGTCGTCGAAGTTGGCCGACGGCGTTCTTAAACGCATCTTCCCCAGTCCTTCGAGGAATATTTCTCTATAATTCTGCAAGAAAATACCCGATTTTGAATGATGCCCCCGCAGAAGTTGACTGAAGAAGATAAACCGTCAACACTCAATGAAAATACAAAAGCATCATTTATTGGAATTAAAATAAATTGCTCTCAACATACCCGGCTGGATGACTGTCATGCACCTTATTTTGGAGTCAGCCAATCCTCCATGAAGTGTCTCCAGTTGGTCCAGAATGCCGCTGCTCGCTTCTTAACCGGTACTCGTAAGAGGGAGCGCATCACTCCTACTCTGGCATCCCTTTACTGGGTCCCGCTGAACATCCGGCAAGCCCCCTGGCTGCCCATCTTTAAAACTTGTCTTTAAATTCATTTTTATTGTCTGGCTTTTGGCTCAGCGTGAGACTTGAGTTTCAGTTTGACTTTTTTTGTGCTTTCTTCTGTCTTTGTTATTCGTGTATTGTTTTATAATTATTTTCGCTCGATGTTCAGCATTTTGTATACGGCGATGAGTGTTTTCAAGTTTTCCAGGATTACAGTTGAGTTGAGCAAAGTGTTTGTCCACCGTCCCAATGCAATAAAATATTTTGAATGTTCCTGCGATGTTTGAAACCAAACTTGATTTATGAGTCTGAAATACCCACGGAGAGTTCTCAGTTTGAAATCGTCTAACCCTCATCAATGATTTGTGACTGCTCAGCGGGCCATCATTTTAACTGCAGCCGCTACTTTGTTTCGAGGTCTTGCTTTGGCACGCGGTCGCCGGAGGACTGCGACAGCGGGAGCCGGAGGCCACTGAGCAATGCGGGCAATTAACGAGACATGCATGGGTAATGTGATTACAAAGCAGAAAAAAAAAAAAAACCAACCTCAAGAAAGCAGTCAGGTGTACTTTGTCACAACATCACTTCCACCGAGAGGAGCGAGGATGTTGCCGAACGTGTAATCCGCCTGACGCGGGCGCGGAATCCGCGGATGACGAAATGACACTGACGTGATTTTCTTTCACCGTGTTGGCATCGGCTTCGCGTCCCACAAGCTGCTCCGTACACCAAAGTCTCTGCTCTGACAAGACAGCTGTCTCGGCAGTTTGTGCAGCTCTTTCTAAGTCAACATTCATTTCATCTCCACCGTGATCGTCATGCGCCGAACGGAGCGACGCGCTTGTATGAAAAACGACTCTGTGTTAAGACGGCGGCCTTGACCTTTACATATTACGCCATTGGTCCATTAATAATGCATTTGCTAGCACTTTGCACAGCGCCATTACTAGATTTCACATCGTGAGTGGAAAAAAAAACAAAAAACAACAGCAGTTCATTCTTTTGCTTTTGCTTGCCAACTTTGCCCGTCAGACAGACTTTAAGGGCTCGTTTAAAAATTAATGAGCAGCGCTTACACTGTAAATAAGTGCCGATAATGCACCCTGGGTTATTTGAAATGTAACA